AGAACCTATACTGGCAGTAAACAGCATGCATACGCATAGAGAATGAGCTCAGCGAATATACAAAAATAGAAGGCGTAAGGCAAGGATGTGTCTTCTCACCGGACTTATTCAACCTATACAGCGAGGCAATTCTGAGGGAACTGGAGATCCTACCAGGATTCATCATTGGCGGCCACAACCTTATCAAAATAAGATACGCAGATCACACGATACTGATAGCAGACACGGAAAAGAAACTACAAAACCTCCTACAGAAGGTAGCGAGGGAGAGCGAGAAGAAAGGACTAACTATAACATTGTTGTAGATTAGTTTTCAGAGTGGAGGCTTGTATTTCAATAAGTCGTCCTAAATTAGGTTCGACGTGCAAAACGTTAGGAATTTGAAATAAGAGGTAATGACGCAGCAATCTAGTTGGTACTTCAATGTCCGATATCGACTGACTCGCTCAACACCACTGAGCCCAACTGACGACCGCTACTACTACTACTACTTATTACGAATTGGGATGGCCAAGGATGCATTCCAGGAGCTGGGCAGAGTACTGCGAGACTGGAGGATTTCTTTGGTGACAAACAAAAGAGTACTGAGCAGCTTCGTGACGAGGCGGCGGAAATGTCGTTCTACAGAAGGATGCTGAGGATCTCATGGATCAAGCATGTGAATACAATAAGGTCTTGGAGAGGTTGCAAACGATGAGAAAGCTTATGCTTAACATAAGGAAGAGGCAGATGAAATTTCTAGGACACGTGATGAGAAAGGAGGGCCTGGAGATTCTGATAGTCACGGGACGAATAGAGGGGGGGAAAGTGACAGGGGAAAGCAGCGTATGACATACACGACGGGCTTGGGCAGGTAGATGGCGGAGAGTGGTCTGCGGGAGTCGACAGAAACACAAAACCTGTTGAGAGCCACAAGTGATAGGGAAAAGTGGAGAGCCATGGTCGCCTATGTCCTAAAAGGACATGGCACATAAAAAGAAAGATGCTTAATGAAAAGTGATTTTTGTCTGTTTTATCAATAATCTATGAATCAATGTGTTGCTTATAGACGGACTCGATCTCCTAGCGACGAGCTCCAACAAAGAAACAGAAAAAAGGTGAATGAAACATTACCTTAAGTTTATATTGATATCTGACACATAAAAAATTCAAAAAACGTTCTTAAAAATTATATAAGACTAAATATACTTACAATTTGCAAATGATTTCTAACCAGTCTAATACAGTGTCATAGTCTAATAAATGATATTTAACTAAGTACTAAAGATTAGATTTGGTCTTCTTAACATATATTCACGTGTTAGATGTCATGTCTTCCACAGGAAATTGGACAAACACCAGATTTGACGTCAAAGCGTGATGATGTTTCCTGTCCTTACAAATGGAACGTTGTCGCATTTTTGAAATGCGAACAATAAAATTATGGTAATTCAGTATTGACATATTTTGAATCGCTAAAATGAAGATTGAAAATAGATTAACAATAATTCATTGTTTTCTGCACGAACTACAGCCAGTAAATAGCAGTCGAGAGACTTGTTTTGAAATATCTACCTGTAGCAAAACAAAAACGGAATGAAACCAGTGAATTCGTTTTTTTTTCAAAAGAGTTCAGAAAAACGATCAAGATATCAGAAGCATGAAACGAGGCAACATTTGTGGTAGAATAGAAATGTCGAAAAATATATTTAAAAAAATAAAGCCAAGGAAATTTACAATACCGACAAATGCCATGGCACAGTGGATAAAGGCGTTAGTTAGATCCAGTAACAGGACCTAAAGAGTGTGAGTTCAATACTTGGTTACGGCAGTGGAGAGCTTGGAGAGAATAATTAACAGGAGATAACTGACATCCATTAGACATGGCACGTGGAACTAGAACAGTCTACCCTAGAGATCGAAATAAAAGTTCAGTTCGACATTCCAACCACCTGAAGAAGGCCGGAACGCACAACAGCCGAAACGTTGTAATAAATATGGGGACAAAGATGATAACAATAGTCTGAAAAATGTAAATAGTTTACTGAGAAATGAATATACTGGAAGAGACACTGAGGCATTTTGTGAAAGATGTTCTGGGCTTAGCGCTATATCATGTTGAAACACTAGATTTTGGACGATCGTCGGTGTTAAGCAACGCCGAGCCTGGTCAGTACCTTGATGGATGTCCGCTTGGGAATAACAAGTGCTGTAAGCTTTGATGTGTGGGTGGTGCAATGGATAGTGATTCGGAATTGTTAATCAGAGGGCCGAGTTCCAATTCCAGTTGGGTTCCTTATATTCATTTATATGCAAATAACTTTGGGAAAATTATGAAATCACCTCTTCCCTCAACTATGGGTTAAATTTTATCACGAAACCACTATTATTTTTTTAAATTTTGTAATCTGAAAATATTTGCTGGCTTTAAATAACCAACAAAGTAAGCCGTAAAAAAACGAACCAATCAAAATGAACGCTTTCCTGTTAGTATTGTCTTCTAGGAATTATTAGAAAGCATTACTGCTATTATGGAAATATATATGAAGTTTTTAAAATAGTAAGGTGAAAATAAAATGCCAATGGAAAACACTGTATCATGAATTCTTGTAGTTGGCCCTCTTTTATTCACTGAGAAAAAAAATGGCTCCTATGTCTGAGAAGAGACATTACGATGGTAAATGTGACATCAAAATCTGAAGTAACATTGGAATAGCGAAAGATATATTCTAAAAGCTAAAATATTAAGAAACGGTACTGTTTCGCAAGAAACAACAGAAAATGGTCCTGATGCACTATCAATCCCCTGATATAGCAGTAGATACTGGACATTTTCCTCACTGATAAAGAGGTGAGCTGATGCAACAGAGATCATTCTATATAGGGATGTAGAGAGAAACGCATAAGCAATGGCGAAGATTTAAGGAAAATGGAAATTAAAGAAGAACCATTAGGGGTGGGACATATAAGGATGGAATTCGACACACTGAAAGCAAAGGGGACAGATGACAACATTGAGAAATTTACTTAACAAGCTTGTGTAAATGGATGGCAGAAGAGGGAGAAAGAAAGAAAAATCCGAAATTCACACAATGCTAAGCGCTACAATGAATAAGAAGTTGTGAAGGGCCATGATCGCTCAGATCCTGAAAGAACACGACAGATAGAATTTTTTGGAAACGTTTTCTTTTTTCACAAAATGTTCACGCAATTCAATGCCCAAGAGCCACATCGAGGGTTACTGAAAGATGCAACTGAGGGGATGGAGAGGGGACAAGAAGGGATGAGAAGTGAAGATTATGAGGATATATAAGAAAGATAACGGTTTAATCTCGACTTGATAGATTAACATTGACTATTTTGTTTTTGTTTTGGGGTTGTTGTTTTTTGTGCATTACGTTGTATCATATGAGATTGCATGATGCAATAGTATTTCTTATTTCATCAGCTAATATTCATATATGATTTCTGGTCAAAAAACGTTGTCATAGCTAAATTAGCAGCCTTTGTGATAGTATTTGTGTCGTAAATCAGGCTCAGGTTATTGGCAAAAAATATTTCTTTTCATCAACACGAAAGACCTAAATTGTCATCCTACGCTGTTAAGGCTACTCAGATCATTACATCAGAGTAAAATTTGTAGCAAAAGAGATGTGTGCACTGCTATCGCGAATTTCCCAAATTCAGGGACATTTAAGCGAAAAGGTGAGAAGTGGACGTCCAAGGAAAACCAGTGGTAGAAATAACCATTTGACGAATCGCATTATTACAAGATACCCAACAAGTTTTTCTAAGATCCTTGCTACTCTCCTTTAAAACAGAACAAATGTCACTTCTGTGACTGTTTCAAGCCGTCTGAGATTAGACATTGATCTGGAATCATTCAAATCGGCTCGTAAACAACGTCTAAGAGTAGCTATGAAATCCAAGCCTCTGGCAACATGAGACCTGGGCAGCTACTGCACTAAAGTTATATTTTCAGACCAACAGTTCGTTATGCGTAAAAACATTAGAAACCCCCTGGTAAGGAATTTGATGAAAAGCATAAAATTCAGGCTATGAAGCATCCGCTAAGCTAAATAATTTTGAGCGCCATGTCTAAATTTGGAACAACTGGACTGCTTCTTGCCTCCAGAAACAACGATGAATTATGTGCCAGTATGTGGAACGAATGCAAAAAAAACTGGAACTGCACATGCACTTTAATCAGTGCATGATAGTGCTACATGTCACAGGTCAAAGGTCGTTCGGGAATGTTTTGAACATAATCAGTCACTAGACTGACGAGGAAGAGCTCACATCTGAACCCAACTGAGACTTTATGGGAATTGGTCAAAAACAAAGTTGCAGAATAAACAACATTGAAGTACCGAATCAAGGAAAGAGACTATTAAAGCGGTTTAAGCAAAGGAAATCATGGTTGATTACTGTAAGAACTTGATTTTCTGCATGAACCATTTCATGCAAGCAGTATTCAAATCCAAAGGGCGGGGAGTATATAGTATACGGAACACTGGAATATTCTCCTTGAAATGAATAGAGAGTGTCTTCATGTACAAATTTATACAATGATAGCCAATACATCAGCAGCTGAACTAGAGAAACGAAAGCCATATTTCTTGGCAGAAAGAACGCCCTGCAATGTGAGATGCTTAAACAATTCAGCATTGATTAGGGCATTTAATAGCTTACCAAAACGAGACAGAATTCTAATAGAACGATAGTTGGAAGTGTCAGAGTTCTTAAAAACTGGAACAATATATGGCGCAGTAAACAAAATGCCAGCTGACAAAAAATCCCATCGGAAAATATCCAAGTTGACAAAAACCTGCGGATAAAATCCTCTCGGACAAAATCCAAGCAAACAAACCCAGGTGACAAAATCCCAACTGGTAAAAACCCAACTAACAAAATCCCAGTGGACAAAATCCCAGCGGGCAAAAACCCCGCAGGCAAAATCCCAGCGGCCAAAAACACAGCGGCAAAAATTCCCACGGACAAAAACTCAGCGGGAAAAACCCATGGTCATATCCCTGTGAGCTTAGTGAGATTGAGTAAAGGGTGCCGGAATAAGGTTTACAAGTAATAACAAATTGACAAAATTTATTAAAGTCTACGAAGGAAAGGAAGTTGTAGAGGGCCATGATCACCTACGAGCTGAAGAAACATGACACATGGAGAAGATGATCTAGGTCGTTGTTTGTAAATGAACGAGAATGTCGACTCAACGATGTGTACCCACAAAAACAACGTCTTTGTTAGAAATGAATTATTAATGTGAATATGACAGACAGTACAAAGGTAACAAAACGCAATGCAAATTTCTTTTACCATTAAAAGTAATGTATCGTACTTTACTATCAGGTCATCCCATAAGTTCTGTCCGAATTAAAGAGTATTTTATAATGTCTAATGGAGCTGAACATTATTTTTATGTTTAGATGCATTTAAACTGATCAAATTTTATTTCAGAGAACAATAAAATTAAATTTTGTTTGATTAAAACCCTGCTAACGTGGAAGTAACCAAGAATTATTTGAGGCACATAAAGCTTTATGAGTTAAAGAAAGAAAACTCAGCAGCCTAAGCGGCTAGAAACATTCACTCAGTTTCTGGAGAGGAATGTGTGAATGAAAAGAACTTACAGAAGATGGTTTGCAAAATTCAAAGGTGGAGATTTCGCCCTTGAAGATGAAGATCGAACCGGACGTCCAGTTGAGTTTGATGAAAAGCTTCTTGAAGCAGCCCTTGAAGAAAATCTTGCTTTATCAGTTGAGGAATTGGCAGTGGTTCTCCAGTTCAAACCACACAACTGTTCATCATCATCTTCAACAACTTGGAAAAGTTCCTAAACTTGGAAAATAGGTGCCTCATGAATTGTCTGAAAACAACCTCAAATCCCGAGTTGACATCTGCTCTTCTCTCCATTCTCGCCAACTTGTTTCACCTTTTTTTGGATAGACTTGTGACTGGCGACGAAAAATAGATCTTTATTGAAATGTTAAGCGTCGTAGACAGTGGCTTGGTAAAGGGAAGGACCTCAGCCACAACCGAGAAGGGAACTTCATGGGCAAAAGGTTCTTCTTTCAATCTGGTGGGATCGCCAAGGAATAATCCACTTTGAATTCTTACCACCTAATGCAACAATTAATGCTCAAATATACTGTCAGCAATTAGAGCGTTTGAACCAAGCTTTGAGGAAAAAAGACCCGCTCTAGTGAATCGAAAAGGGGTGATGTTTCATCAGGACAATGCGAGACCCCACACAGCAAGAATCACGTTACAAAAGATTGGTTGGGAGAAAATTTCTCATCCACCTTATTCTCCCGATCTTGCTCCTTCACACTACCATTTGTTTCGTAGCTTACAGAATCATTTGGAAGAAACAGCTTTTGTAACACAGGAAGAGGTTAAAACTGACATTTGTGAGTTCTTCGAATCAAAGCCAAAAGAATTTTACAGTAATGGAATTAGTAAGCTTGTAAATAGATGGAAGGAAGTCATAGATAATCAGGGAAAATATATTGTTGATTGAATCTGTAATTAAATGTAACATTTGGTCACTTGTTTTCTTCATTCAAAATTCGGACAGAACATATGGGATGACCTGATATAAAAATGAATTGCTAATGATTTTACTAATTAAATGCACTATCATTAATGGAAAGATACTTTTTTTACATTAATGTTCACCCTTTACAAGGCTTGGGGTGTTGGGTGTTCAATTCGAGGTAGAGGATTACGTTAGGAGGCGATTTGAATAAACGATAACGGTTAATCCTAACCTTGAACAAATTGTAGTGATCAGGGAAACATCCTCTTGGGAGTTGGTTCCCCAGAGCAGTGGTTCCTGGGGAGAGACTGTTCGAGAGGAACTTACTTCTCACTGATGGAATACGGAAAGAATGTTTCTTTCTTTTGTCAGTGGTTAAGAATTACTTTATAGACTTCAACAGAGTCTACGCATCCTTGTGGTTGATGAATTATTTTCCAGCCCGCAATCTCTTTCCCACAAACGAACGTCCCAAGCATCTCGTTGTTTTATCGCTATTTCCATGGAAAGTGTCTAGGCGAACTATATTCTTTAGTTCCCCTAGTCCTTACCTTCACGGACAGAGACACCTGATACCATGCAAATTGTAGCGAATCACCCGTGTTCCTTTCGTATTCCATGAGATGTAAGTTCCATCCGTAAAGCTTCTTGCAACGAATTACTGCTTTGTGGAACCGACTCCCAAGGGGATGCTTCCCCGATCACTACAATCTTAGCATGTTCATGTCTAGGGTCAACTGTTATCTTCCTAGCTTATCTCTATAAACCGTGCCTCTAACATTCTACGTCGAGTGGCTCTTGAGGTGAAAATCATTGTAAAAAAATAAAAATTGATTCAAGTTTCAACAAATATTTTCTACGGATTTCTTCATTCCAAGGCGTAAAGAGAATGCCCCGTTTTATCCACGTTTGCATTCTTATGAAATATGGCAGAGCACCGTGATTATGTAAATACGAACTTGTTGATTGTCCTACAAACAAGACAGCTAAGAGCTTTTTCTTTTTTTTTTTTTTGTTGTTGCCCAAGTTAGCTTATTTTTCTGACTTCAAGCACTTATCCCCCCACCCGTTCAGCTTTTAATTTTCAGCCCTCTCCTTTCCACCAATTCGATTATTACGAAACACAAACCTTTCAGTGTCTCAATTCGCACATATTCCGCCTTTTTCTTTCTTTGTTTATTTGATGACATTTTTATGTTTTGTTTTAGACGTGAGAAGTCGTCTCTTCTTTTCAGCACTTACCGTCTTCAGGGATCCTTAGCTTTCAAAGGGTTCTGTTTATTTTATTACTTCGAATTATTTATTGTTTTATTTTTATTGTTTTATTTTATTTATTTTTTATTTTTTTTAACATTTTCGCCTTGTGCTTCGGCTGTTATTTCTTCCGCACTCTACAGAAGAAAAAAGGCTATCAATCACTTGCTATCTATCTATCTATCTATCTATCTATCTATCTATCTATCTATCTATCTATCTATCTCTTTTAACCACTTCATATCTATCTATCTATCTATCTATCTATCTATCTATCTATCTATCTATCTATCTTACTCTGTTTATATCTATATATCTATCTGTCTCATTTTATTCCTATGTATGTATGTATCTATCTTATTCTGTTCATAGCTATATATCTATCTATCTCATTTTATTCCTATCTATCTATCTATCTATCTATCTATCTATCTATCTTATTCTGTTTATATCTATATATCTATCTCATTTTATTCCTTCCCATCTATCTGCCTATCTATCTACTTCTGTTCATATTCTGATTTTATTCCTATCTAACTATTTATCGTATTGTGTTCATATATATATATATATATATATATATATGTGTGTGTGTGTGTGTGTGTGTGTGTGTCTATCACATTTTATTCCTATCTATCTATCTATCTATCTATCTATCTATCTATCTATCTATATCGCAAGCTGTGCCTAGCTAGTTAGCTGGATAGATAGGTAGATTTAAGTACGTTCATGTTTACTATCGTAGCATATTTCTTTATCATTCATTCGCCAAAAAGCTTTAATAATAAATATACTGTTTCCACAACACTTTTCTCTCTGCTTATCTTTTTTATCCATCAAAGAATTTCTTTTTTTTTTTCTTCTTTCTTTGTCCCCCCACGCTTTTTTTTTTTTTCGCCTTTTATTTATTTGTTCGCCTTTTATTTATTTGTTCGCCTTTTATTTGGTTTCTTTCTTCTATTTGGCCTCCTTCTGTCCACCTTTATTAGCCACACTTGCTTATCCCCTTACTTTATTTGTCCATCTTCTTTATTTGTCCCCCTTCTTTATTTGTCCCCTTCTTTATTTGTCCACCTTTATTTATTCTGTCCACCCTTATTTATTCGACTTGCTTATCTATCTTCTTTATCTGTCTACCTTCTTGAATTTGTCCTTTATTTTTATCTGTCCTCCTCATTTATCTGTCCTCCTCATTTATCTGTCCACCTTATTTATGTCCTTTTTTCTTTATCTCCCCCCGCTCCACCTTTATTTGTCCCCCTTCTTTATTTTTATGCATTTTCATTCCATGGATTTATTTTCAATCCCATCATTGTCTCTTTTCTTTTTTTTTTTTTTTCAGTCATTTCTTTCATCCTTTCTTTCTTCATCTTCTTCCCAGCCTTTTTTTTATTCTTTATTCCCCTTGGCATTTTCCACATTCTCCTCTTTTTCTTCTTCTTTTTCTTTTCCTTCTTAACCTTTTTCTTTTACTCCCCACCCCACCTGCCTGTTCTATATTTCTCTACTTTTCTTGGTTTTCCTTTATTGTCTTTTTCCTTTTCTTCTATTAATTTTTTAAAAATCTTCTCACTTTCTTCCTTTTCTTTCACTCTTTTCTTTCCTTCCTTTTTATTAATCCCTTCTGTCTTCTCCCTTTTCTTTAGATTGGCGACGAATGCTGGAGAATAAAGTACATTTCACCTTGTTCATCTTGTTATCGATATGTCCTGTGAGTGTCAACTTCTCCAAACCCTTCTTCCTCATTATATGTCCAAACAGTACAAATAAAGAGGAAACTGGAGGTAACGGAAATGTGGTTCCACACAAGGATGTTGAGAATTCCATGCACGAAGCAAGTGAGCCATGAGAAAGTCATAATGAAAACGGAAACAGAAACGAAACGTGCTCAGAATCAGAACGACACGAGTAAAACTGTTTGGACATATAATGAGTGTTATGGTTCAAGTTCCTTGTACCACGGTGATGGTCCAAGGTTAGAACCAGTGACAGAATAACACGAACACTGGTATGGAATACAAAGATATATTAGAACAGAAATATAATACAAAGAAGTAGAAGTATTAGTAATGACTATCAGATTTGGTTAGAGTGAACTATGTTGTCTTGACAAGTATCACTATTCCAATGTCCTTACAATATGCTCTCAATTATCTCTCCTCGTCTTACAATCTCCTCATACCTCTTGAGAGGCGCAGTATTTATAATGTCAGGAATAGTCCATTATTATTATGGGTAAGTTCCCATAATAATGAGGAAGAAGGGTTTGGAGAACTTGACCCTCACAAGACATATCGATAACAAGATGAACAAGGGGAGACATTGGGTTACCTCCTTAATGTATCAATGGATGGCCTAACGGGGAACAGGAGTCGCTGCTAAGGTTACAATTGATAGGAAGTTTTGGAGAGCCATGATTACCCTTGTCTTGAAGGGATACGGCATATAGAAGAGAGACAGAGAGAAAGAGGGATACACACTGTTGTTTTCGGGTTCTTATTTCATATCCATGTCTTACCCTTGGCTAGGCTTTTCTTTTCCTTTTTGCGTTTTTTTTCTTGCATCTGTCTACAAATAAAACATACCGTATATACACGTGTAACAGGCGATCTCGCGTATCGTGCGACTCCCAAATGTTAACTTATAAAAAGTGATTTTATCATGCAGATATTTACTCAACTCCCCTTGAGGTCAGGTTGTGACATAAGGTCGGTTTAATGTGGGGAGCCCGAGCGCGTACACCCGGGCAACGAACAAAAATTCCCCGAGCCCCTGCAACCGTCGGTTGTGCTGGCCTCGGTGCGAGCACCGATCCCTCCCTCTTGTGCAATGGGCAGTAAATGATTTTATCATGTATCTCATAGATACAGTTAAGTAAAACATCAGTTTCATCAAAATCATATTTATTTTAAATACAGATCTACTTTTTGACTACAGTAAATAGATATATAGTCTGGTCAACGACGTAGCCAGGGTCAGTAGTACATGGACTAATTTTATATCTCGTGTATGATACGACCCCCTTAAAATTAGCTTCAAAATTCAGTCAGTTATGTGCCATGCGTGATACACGCTTAGGCGATCATGTATCTTTCGATACATGACTGACGATATAGACTTTTTTTTCCTGCAGTCGTTTGCCATTTCTTTCTGCGGTAGACCAGTTGCTATCCAAGGCTATAGAACCCGGTCTGTCCTGCTATTTACCCATGGGTGGGGAGAAGAAGAGGATTTATACCTTTCCCAAGAGTATTAGCCCGTAATTGAATATAATAATTCCTCCGGGAAAATCTAGAAGAGGATTCATACCTTTCCCAAAGGTTTTAGCACGTAAGTGAATATAATGGATTCGACTGGAATTCGAACTCGGCTCTCCGATTCCTCAGTCCGATCCGCTATCCATTACTCTACCATACTTCAGAATTATAACCAAACGTCGCATGATATGCGAGTATATACGGAAATCTTTTGCTTTCTTCTTTGTTTTTCTTCTTAAACATTCTCGATTTATTTTTCCTTCATCGACCTTTTCTTCGTGTCAGTTTTTTTTCGTTCTTTAAAAAAAAAAAAACCCTACTTAACAGTATTTTCTTTGCTTTTGCCTCACGACGAAATCTTTTCCTTTGTCTTCTTCCCTTCACTTTTCTTTTTCATATTCCCCTCTCCTTCTTTGTTCTTTTCTTCTTCTTTTTTTTTCTTTTCTTGATTTCAAAGCCAACACAACTCGCCTAACCCACCCCACACTCTTCCCGTATTTCTTTTTTTTTTTTTTTCTATTTCTGCCTGACCCTAGTTTTCATCTCCATACACACACGCTCTCCTCCTCCCAACCATCTATCCTACTGCCCTCTCTACACCCCAGCCCGCCTGACTAACAACTATTCCAGATAGATGTATGGTGAACACGTGTTTGTGTTGACTATAAACTTCCTGTTTATTTGCAAGCTCTTGGCCGGGTTGTCATGCAACACATTCCGATTGCGTTTTCTTCAACGACTAATGCCTGCCGTAACCGAGAAACAAGTTTACCACGCAATAGCGCGCGCTTTTTCTTTCACCTTTTTTCTCACTGGCCAAATATTCTAGCCAATCATTACACAATGCTCGCTTGTCTAATGTTTTTACAACTGAACAGCCTCCAAGCCATCAATGAATACTTCAACTATAGTTAATAAACCTTAACTTAAACTCCGTAACTATAATTCAAATGATACTAAACATAATTTGCATGTGGCTCTGATTTTTTAATGTAATACTGCTTACAGTTTCAATTATTCATTTTTGACTAGTATTTCTTTCGTGTTCATCTTAGTCTGTTTATTTCAGTTATCCGGGTAGTTACCCCAGACGCAACATCGCAAGGCTATCTATTCTACCGCTATTTCTATGGCAAATGTGCCACAAGTTCGGACATTCACAGCCAAAACCCGACTTGTCATGTCCACATGGTTGAATCACCCTCACTCTCTACTTTCTTTACTAAGAACGACATTCCACTCCGATATTTCATTTCCAAGAACTGTTACTTTATGGAACATACTCCCGCAGGTATGATTTCCAGAAAACTACAATTTTAACTGCTTCAAGCGTAGGATCAATGATTATCTATCCTCCATAGCCTCATAATATTTCTACTTCCTCCTCTTTTTATATCACACCTCATTTAATAACCTGGAGTGGCTCTTGGACAGCAATAAAAAAAGTAAACTCCATTTTTTTTTTATTTTTATGGCCATAGAATGGCGGTCTGAAGGTAGCTTTAATTGAAATTAAGATGAAAGAAACGATAGTTAAAATGGCTGATGATTCATTCAAGATCTATTAACGTCACTAGATGGAAAGAAAATTAAATTAATAATAGTCGAAATTGATAATGGCCGCTTCCTCTTCTAAAAATCAAAGTAATATTGCCACTTGTACACTTCATCCTATAATAAAAATACACTAATATTTTGTTCATCTCAATAACGGAAAATAGATTTTTAAATTCCTCGCTGATCGTCAAATAAGAACGCCTTACAGAACTTGTACTAAATTAGACTTTATTATGTAAGTCATCATTTTCACAATAAAATTGATATTATCCAACCGATGTTGGTAACATTTGTAGTATATAATTACATCTATATAATAATTATAGCTATATAAGCATCATTTTAATAATTGCATCTATGTAATAATTATATCTATATAAAAATCATGTTAATAATTACATTTATATAATAATTACATTTATATAAATACCATGTTAATAATAACATACTATATACTAATTACATCAGTATATAAATATTATGTTAATAATTACATCCATGTAATAATTACACCTAAATAAAAATAATTACATTTATATAAATATCATGTTAACAATTGCATCTATATAATAATAACTATATAAAATCTTGTTAAATCGAATTTTCATTAGAAATATTTGCCACAACTCATTTACTTGTCTAAGAGTTTATTATACAACTCAATGTTTGCTTATCCTATTGTTGATAAGTATATTGTTATATTTATTGATATATAGCCCTTTATTTAAGATAAGATTATCATTAGTCGTAAGAAACATATAACGTCATAAGAGAAAAAAATATTGTAGTGTTTTTGAATGATGTTCCATGCAACTTCGGAAATAGAACAGCACTGAGATCAGAGAAGAAAAAAAATAAGCTAAAACATTGGCAAGGATAAGAAAAAAGAAAAAATAGTTTTTTTTTTCCTTCTCAACAAATAGGAGTAGATAGGTTCACCTACCGTCCGGTTCACACTCCTCCCTAGTGTTTTGAACGAGTCGAGGTTTATCCTTTGTTTTGTTTTGGGTTTCCATTTCTTTCTAAATTCTACTCTAAAATATCATTCACGGACTAAATCTTGACCACTTCAAGTCTGGAGTTAGCCGTTATTTTTCCTGTATAGCCCCAACAACTTCACTGATGGCCCTTTCTTACACTAATACAACACCGCACAGTGATCCTCCACTTTGAGTGGCTCTTGCGCCTTGTATTAGGTGAACAAAGGATTGAACCGAGGTAGAGGGTAGGGGCCATTCTTTTAATTTCTTGCTTTTATTTTATTTATTTATTTTTTTTATTTTTTTGCAACAGTCAAAATTTACAGAACTTGAAGAAAGGCTCTATTGCAGAAACATAGTCTTTACCGTAAAACGTCTTTTTTTTTGTGACAGTCACACTCAGAAAAATATCTCATTACAAAAACTTACACTGATACTATACATTTATCGTAACATCATCATCATTTATTTTTTGCTTTTTATAATCTTGTTCATCCTATAAATAGTCCGCGAGTCTCTCAAGGTAAGAGGCACAGTTTATGCGTATGCGTATATGTGGGGAAAATAACGGTTAACCCTAGACTTGAACAGGTTACAATTGCAATGATCGGTGAAGCATCCTCTAGAGAGTCGGTGCTACAAAAAAGTAGTTCGTAGGAAGAAGCTGCTGAAGTGGAACTTTCATTTCAGCAATGGAATACGAAGGGAATGTGGAGAGTTCGCTACAATGTTCTTGGAATGACGAGTTCTAGCCGTGAATTTTAGAAATAGTAGAACAAAGGAATGTAGTTCATTTGAACATTTTCCATGGAAATAACAGCAGAGCAGCGAGAGGTATGCGAATTTTCGTCTGTGGGAAAGTGGTTGTAGCGTGAAA